GCAGAGCCCCACTCCCAGTGTTGATGCGGGTGCGGCAGCACTGGGAGTGGGGGCTATGCCCTGCTGCTGCTTGCCCCCTTCCACCCACAGTGAGCCACACCTGCTTCACTTGCCACCCACCTTCCTGGTTGGGCAAGCAGCAGCAGGGCATAGACCCTGCTCCCAGTGCTGCCGTGCCCGCATCCCGCACCGCCCGCTGTGGCTGGGCAGCTTGTCCAGCTGTAGCTCCAATCCCTCCCTCCCCCATGCCTCTTCCCTCCCCCCTTCGCCTACCACAACAGACTTACCAGCTGGAGGCAGCTGTGTCCAGCATGGTGAGGTCTGCTGCCTCTTTAGTCTATGGCTGAATCTCCAAATTGGCCAAACCTTTTCTGAATCAATTCAGAGGCTTATAATTTGATTCAGGGCTTTTAATTAGTCTCCCAATTCGATTTGGATTTGGAGATTCAGTCACCGAATCAGGCCAAATCTCCTCTGAATCAAATTGGCTACCAAAGCCCTAGTGTGAAGTAGTTCTGAGGCTATTCTTTGGGTTGCCCTCTCCGCAAGTCAAACCTGACTGAAAAGGAATGGTGTTTTTTTTATAACTTATACACAGTTCCAGAGATATGAAATTAATTCCTACGTGATTGACTTTTTTATGTTCTCTAAGAGCCCTATTCCAGACCTTAGTCCAGTGACTCTCAACCCGTTTCCCCAGCCAGCTGGGTAGGCAGTGCCCAGTCTGACCATGAGCTGGATGGTGGTTCCAATCCAGTGCCCAGGGCCAGTGCAGGGGCCACCATCAGGCTATGCAGAGGGGCCCAGGGGGCAGCCCAATAAGGGCTTGGCCCTGCAGGGTGGGAAGGGGACTTCACCTGGCCCCATGGAGCTGGGGGGAACATGATGCCACCCCACAGGGAAAAGGAGATGTAAGAGGATTCCCAAATCCCCAGAGGGAAAAGAGGATTCCCAAACCCCACCAGCCTTATGGGGGTAAGGTGGCATGGCCCAGCTCTGACCTGGCCCTGTGGGGGGAAGGGGCACAAGCCTCGTTCCAGCTGAACATGCAGAGCTTGGGTCTGGTAATTTGGCAGTGGGGAGGGTGGCTGTAGTAATGGCCACTGATCCCCTGCTGCCAAATTTCTTGACCCATGGGAAGCCCCACAGGCCAGATGTGATGGTTCTGTGGACCTCATTTGGCCTGTAGGCTGGAGGTTGAGCACCCCTGCCTTAGATGACTTAAATTGAATCACTGTATGTATGTTCTTAAAGCCTGTTAAAGTAGAAACTTATGCAAAAAAACAGTCTCTTTAACCTGCTTCATTTTTCCTTTGCTCTGTATACAAGGCTCCCATCACTAAAAATGCAAAAAGTATGTTCCAGATTTTTAATAACTAAGTCTGTTTACAATCACTTGTAAACTTTTTCCATTAAAAACCTACATGTTTTTCCTCAGAAAAGCTGTGTATTAGTTCCCAAAAGGCACAAATGTTGAATCATTGCAGTCGATTCTAACATGAACTGAATTTGTTTCACAGTTATCCATTGAACAACACGGATCTTCGACCATTCAACATTGAAGAAAATGGTGGAACACCATTTACCACAAAAATGTCAGGAAGGCACCACCATCACCACCACCACCATCACCACCACCATTCAAACTATGGAGTAGTTGCTCCTGACAGCAAAGATATGGTTTCTGGAGTTTCAAATCCGAACAGTAAGTTTAATTCAATGGGTTTTCAATAGTTGCTTTGATTTTATATTAATCTTGGACAAGGGAACAAAGATCATTGTGGGAAGGGAATTAATGTATTTCCTCAAGAAATTGCAGATTTCCTGTGATTATTGTTAAATTCTACCAGTACATTCAAATGAATAAGGACTAGCAATTTTCTGGCTCTGCTGCTAAATATGTTATTATAGTATTTGGCATTGGATTTCAATTCCATAACTGGTAAAATTGCAAGCGTACCACAGATAATCAGTCCCTAGCCACTTGGCAAAGCCTATATTGCTCTAATATTATTCATTTATTTAGAATCACAGGCACATCTTCTGCCCTTTTCCCTGTCTTGGTGGTCATAGAATCATAGAAAAATCAAGGTGTAGGGGACCTCAGGAGGTCATCTGGTGCAACCCTCTGTTTAAGGCAGAATCATCCCTGTCTAAGCCATCCATGGCAAATACTTGTCTAAACTACTGTTAAAAAAATTCAGTGATGGAGATTCAGCTACCTTTCTACATAAACTCTTCCAGTGCTTAACCATCTTCATACTCGGACAGCTCTTTCTAATGTGCGATCTAAATCTCCCATTTTGCAGTTTAAGCTCACTATTCATCCTTTTCTCTGTGGACATGGAACAATTGATTACCACTGTCTTTATAATAACACTTTTTATGTCTTGAAGGCTCTTAACTCTGTCTCCTCTTTAGGGATTAGCACATTTTTTCAAAGGGTTATAACTTGACCAAATAGAAGTGGATTTTCATAAGAACAGCAAAAGGCAAATCTCTAACAACAAAGTAGCCCAGCTTCTCTCCCACCAAATATCAAGTCCCTCTCCAAAGGATGGAGATGTTGAAACTCTTTTACTTTTTTTTCAAATGGGCAAACTATTAATGTTTCCTTGGTTTCGTTCTCTGAAGCAGAATGTTTGATTTTGACCTTTTTTGGTAAAACTTAGGGGAAAATGTCAGCTTGAGAAAAATTGTATGGACAATTTCAGCTGGAAGAGTAAAGCTGGCAAAGATAAAGGCAGATGAAAATAAAGTCTTTAATGGGAAGTGTCAAACAACTGTGTGGAAGCACAGCCTGTGGGCTGTACTACTGACTCCGCAACTAATAATGTACACGCGTCTCATTGTGTATCGACTTTATATTATCAGAAAACTCATTTTTAAAAACCCAACAGCTTTGTTTTCAGTCCTTCATCTAAAGCAGGCTTGTCCAACACGCAGCCTGCAGGCCACCATGCGGCCCCCCAAGCCGTTTTCTGAGGCCCACGGCGCTGCGATGGGAAATGAAAGTAAACACGGTTTACTTTCGTTCCCACCCCTTGTCCCTCCCCCCACCCCTCAGCAGCTTCCTAATGGCTGCTGAAGGGCTGGGGAAGGGACAAGGTTCTCACATGCACCACGTCAGCTTGACATTACCGACACGGTGCGTGTGGGAAGAGGAGTAGCCATGTTGCCTCTCAAGACAAGATGAACCCGGCCAGAGCAGCAGGGGCTCAGCTGCACTTCCCCTACCCACACTGGTCAGTCCCAAGTGGCACACGGCTCTGCCACCGCTTCTGCTGGTCAGGCTCCTCCCGTCCCCAGCAGCACATAGGAACCCGGCTTCCTGTGATACCACTTCCTGTGAGGTCTTTGAATATGGCTCACCGGCCCACTGGGTGATAAAAAGTTCATGATCCGGCCAAAAGGTTGGACACCCCTGATCTAAAGAGAAAAAAGATGAAAATTTTAAGGCAGAAACTTACAGAGTGAATGGTGAGGTTTGCTTATTAAATATAAATTCTGCAGTAAGCTGCAAATCCTTTTACTGAAGCTATAAATGCAGTTTGGTTATTAGCTTACAGGAGGGCTCCCTTGGGACTGCTGTGCTTTTATGTTTAATTTGTTGCATGCTGCGCTTCAGCTTATCTATAGATACAGCTCTACTATGCTGCGATGGAGGAAGGGTTTAAATGGTCACGACTGTAGCCTTTTAGTGCAGTGTGTTGATAGCAGTCCTGTGATATGTGACTGGATACTCAAACCCTGTTCCTGTTTAATGATGTGTTTGTTTTTCAAGTCAGGAACATAACATGAACAACCCCATTATGTAGTCACTTGATAAATTATTCCAGACTTTGCAATGAAAAGCCAAAAATATGGTTGGATAAAATAAATATTAGAAAAAATTTCAAACCTGCCTAAGTACAACTTATTTCACTTACCTTTTGACCCATCCACAGCTCTAGTGAGTTGAAAAAGTACCCTAGGTGTAGACAGATGGCTGGGACTCTGAAGGCAAAAGGAGAGTTCGTTATGGCCGGCTCTTGGCATCTAGCTTATTGCCTCATGGTTATTATGTCTGATGGCTTAATGTAAGTTGACACAGAGAATAGTTTTTCTGACTGTTTCACCAGATAGATAGCAGAATTGTTTGCAGCGATAGCTGGACATCTGTAGAGTTGGAATATTTCTTGTGAAACGAATCTGAATGGAAAGTGATTGCCTTTTAGTATGATATAGCATCAATGGGTATTTCTGGAACTTCTAATACAAGTATCTGACAGATGCAGGGCAAGTAGCGGCTGAAATAGAGAAAGCATAGAGAGCTTAGATACAATAAGCAACACGATGCAGAGTACTGAAAAACAGAAGCAACATCCTAACACGGTTGGTATAGGAAAACCTACAAAGTTCTTAGTAATTCGCTAGGGTCCCATAGCAGGCATTTTTTATGTTCCTGATAGGTGAAGGGAGAAAAGATGTTGTTCTGATATGAAATATGGCAGGTCTGTAGGTAAAATTCTTTATTCTTTTGAGAGGAGAAAAAGTATTAAGATAAACACAATGTTGTAGCTCTGAACTGTTCTTTATTTTAGTGACTCATAAGTAGGGATCCTGGTTTTCTCTGATTTAAAAAAAAAAAATCCCCAATTTTTGGATTTAAAAAAGTAACCTGAAATCCACGTTTCCATTATTAAAATGAGACACCACTATATATATATATTTATATGTTAGCAGTGTTTCATTTTAATCATGGAAAAATGTGTGTGGGGTTACTTTTTTTAATCCAAAAATTGGGGGTTTTTTTAAATCGGAGAAAACCAGAATCCCTGCTCATAAGCCTGGAAAAGCACAAAAGCAAAAACCAGGAATAATTCATATTTATTACTAAATGACTATAAGTCAACACTGAGAGGGTTAGGCTTCAGCCTATTAATATTTCCAGTCGTTCAGTTCAAGTAGATAGCTGAACAAAAATACAACAGTGTTTCCAGAAAGGTTTCTCTCATGGTATTTCTTATTCCAACCTTTGTGACTGCTGACTTTCCCTGAAATACAGCCGACTTTCCCTGAAACCCCCTTATTTTTCTGTGCCTTGAATCTGCAGGGGCTGCTGCCCTTTCTTTGCTAGGTTCAGTGTATGTGAACTCAATCCTGTGCCTAGAGTTGAGTTAAGCTTTTATCCAAAAATTCAGATGCATATACCTAGATTGACCCCGGACTGAAATCATCAATACCTCTTCCATTTCATGTAGTTCCAAAGAAAATACAGAATTCGATTATCCTACCTTGTGGGATATGAGAAGTGGGGACACCCCACGTTTTCTTTAAACATTTGTAAATAGTTCAGTGAATCTAAAGAGTTCTTACAGAAAACATACCTATTCAAAACTTGCCTGGTTTTCAGATTCTCACTGTTATGGTTAATTCAGTTACAAACGTGTCACTCAGCTACTGTGAAACAAATCATCCATTTTAATAAGCTTTGTGATGGCAATTCAACAGAAATATTCATTATTAAACTATTCACCTGCTCAATGATGGCTATGTTTGAAAAGTGTGGCTTTACTCTAAAGGGTGACTGTATAAAGATCAGACATTCTTGCATTGAAAATCTATTCCTCGTGTGTATTCAGAATCACATCTGCTGGCCTCAGTGACAAAAAATAAGCTTTTGCTGCGTGAAACAGTTGTTAGCCCCACAGAGCCAACACAGATCAAAGAAAGGGAGGCCAGCCTCTATTCCTATTTGTGTGTGCCATTTGCCAAAAGCTTGCACCTGTACAAACTTGCTGACAGCAGCTGAGGCTGTACCTGGATCCATCTTTTGAAGACAGTGAAGTTGCACAGGCATCAAAGATGACATAAATCACCCTGCAGAATCCTTATTAGTGAAGCTGGTAAGTGAGAGGGAAAGAACCAGGCTTGGTTCTCAGATCACAGACTAAGCTTGCAGATTTGCAGTTAGAAAAATCATGTTTACATCCAAACTGAGTGCCCTTGGTAGAGAAGTCATTGAGCAACAATATATAGAGAATATCATTGTACAATTTTAGTTCATTTTAGAGTAGAGCTATTCTTTATCTAGATTTGGTTTAGTCAATACCTATATAATGAGAGCACTTCTGCTATCAGAATTAACACTGATGCTATAAAGATGTGGATTCATAGATCACATTTAGTTTTTATTGGGTTTTTGTGTACGTATGAGCTAGATGAATGGTGAAAACTAGGCCAAATTAATTTTATGAGTTGTGGAAGTTTTAAAAATAAAAAAAGCCTACCTTAAAGAACAATTTCTACACCACAACAGATTTAAACATATTTAAAGCACATTTAACTTATGCATGAGTGAATCCAGGGTCTCATAAAGGGGATGCAGGAGCAGCAACCAGCACTGCAACGGTGTCTGTACCCAACAGGCAACGTGTAGCGGGTCATGGGGGTGGGGACCTGCACCCCCTGAGAGTGCTGAGTACGCCCGCCCCAACAGCAAGTGCTTCAGCTGGTAGGGGGCACAGAAAGAGCTGGTGCCCCCCTCCCCCAAAATTGGCACTGTTGTGCCACATGCAGAAGTGCTGGC